GGGAATTTTTTGAAAACAGAAAGCATATGAGTAAAAAGCTCCAAGCGATCTATTTGTGGTAGCACAAACCAGTCATGGACTGAGAGCTCCTCCAGAGCCTGCCAAGCTTGAAAATGATTGCGAATTCAGGAGTAGGGATGGGTCACCTGGATCTGAAACTTGTAGCTAGCTTTGGTGTGAAGATGGCTAACGCTCCACGTGCTGTTTCCAGCAGCACAGCAGATACTGGGATGGCTTTGCTGCTGGCATCTGCTAGAAGACTAGTGGAAAGTAACATCTCCCTTCTTTTATGGCTTCTGCAAATACAATATTTACCTACCATTAACTTGACTCTTCCTAGAGTTATATGTAGTGCACGTAGTTCCACATAAAATGTGAAAATCTAAATATGTTTGGTTGGCAAATAGAATAATCAGTATTTTCACGTGTTTCATATATCATAAATATATCTAAATTATTACATTTACACAAACATACATGACATATATTTCAACCAGGTATAGATAAAATCACATGAATTTAGTTTTCACAGGTCAGCGGTCTGAGTTGAAAATACTTGAACAGACTCTAATCAGCTTTGATTCAAATACAACTTTTTCCTTTACGGACCAAGCAGTCTTAGAAGCTGGAATTTTTAGAATAAATATGACTGTAGACTTAATTTAACAGTTTTGGATGAAAAACACACGGAAGCGTGCTTTGTACGTAGGAAAACTTTAAACGTCGTTACCTTTTTCAGCAGCACATTTTCAGGGACGATGACTTTTGGCTGACATCAGCCGTGCTCCGTGATGTGAAAGTGTTACTGTGCTACCCATCAAAAGTGGGGGATGCCCCAGATCAGGGGATCACTGCACTCACAGCCTGCCAGAAGGAATTAAGAGTGTGGGAGGCAAGAATGGAGCAGAGTAAGGGTATATGTTGAAAGCTGGGGCTGATGGAGGCATGAGCGTATTCTCAGGGACTCAAATGGATTGGCATGGAATCAGGGAATTCAAGGAATTCAAGGGGCATTAGAGAGCAACAAGGTGGCCCGCTCCTGTTTCTGCTAGTAGCATCCTCTCTAGTTTCTCCCACAATTTTTTCCTGCTCTTTCCCCAAATAGACCTACCTTTGGCATGGTCAGAATGCCTTCTGGAGGAAAAGATCCTGCAGATTTATGCAAATAAATTTGCTTGCCTTTGATTTGCCAGCTGTACTACAGGATTCATAGAAACACAAAGCAGACTTGTCTCCCCCTAAATCTGTTTCTACCTCAGAAGGAGGAGACAGATTAAAAGGGAGATTAATTTCTTGTTGCCATCTACATAAACTATCCCTGGTGGCATTTCTGATAGCTCTGCCCTGGCATGACTGAGTTTTATTTTTAATACTTTCACAATATTCTGCTCTTAGAAGAGCTGGCGATAGCAGAAGATTGAAATATTAGAAGCCTGTCACCTTGCTAGCAGACTAGTAAGTGCTGTCTCTGTGCATGTAAGTGTATTTTCTGTGTTGCAGAACTATCCAAAATTTTGCAGGTTTAACAGATAATTAAGGAAATTACTGAGTAGTGATTTTTAAAGAAGTCACACTTTTCTTTCCAAGGAGAGTGGCAGAGGTGAACAGGAAACCTGTTCTTATTCTAAATAGCAAAGCTAACATCTGGCGTTATTCTCCACATGACATTTCCAATCTCTGCAGTGTTCGGAATAACTTTATATATAATATTTAATAATTTTATAGTAAGTATAATAATTTTATAACTCAGCAATAATTATTTTGATTCTTGATGCAGAACAGGGCAATATTTTTATGAGTCTAAAGCAGTAAAAGGATTTTTAGGGGAGATTACATCAAAAGGCTTTTTGCAGTATGATGAGAATAAACAAGAATGTCACATGCATGTGGCAGGGAAAGATGACCTATTAGGGAATCACCTAGGACATTACCAAAACAGTTGCTATTTAAAATTGTGTGTTTGTAACTACTAAAAGTGCTAAAAAAAAAAACCCAAACGTTAGAAGTGTGTTAAAAGCACAAGCCCAGACTCTTTTGCCTTGTTTCTCTGTATTGAACCCCATTCATTTCTCATATTGGAATATTTTTCTTGCAGGCTATCCCATTGCAATTTCTTCGGGCATGCAGTACTGTGAAGCCAATTTTCTGGGAGTTCAAGTTACTGGAGCTACTCTGGGGATCGTTGGCATGGGCAGCACTGGGTATAAGATTGCTCTGAGAGCCAAAGTGTTTGAAATGAACATTTTGTACCACAACAGGACACAGAAGTAAAGATATGTTTTGACCCTAATTACAGCAGAAACTCCCTTTAGATAGTCAGTATTTCATTTTCAAGGAATTATGTCAGGAATATAGCAAGAAATAAGGGAATAGGGCCAGATAAAACAAAAGAAAATAAAAAAGAAATATTGCCTCAAATCGGTCTTGTAAGGAATTACTTGGTGATTAAACACTTGGAATCTTAATTTAGGTTTTAAATTAGAAATTCCAAGGTTTCCTGGAGATGTGAACAGAAAAAGGAAAATCAAGTTTATACTTCTTTTATTCTTATTTTATCTTACTATAGTGACACAGAACTCTACCTTTTTTTTTTATTTCTGCCCCATATTTTGAAGTTCAGGAGTGATCTTGATGAAACTCTGAATGACTGGAGAACTAGGAAACGTATGCTTGACACAATATGAAAACTGATTGAGGGCTGTTCTTGAGA